CGGCGTGACGATGCTCTTGTTTTTTCTCTTAAGTCTAATCGGGCTTGCCTTCGAAACAGATTTTGTGATATGTGACCTCTTGTTTTCCTTGTCGTTCGTATATTTGATTGACAGCACCTCCGATAAGTGACCCGTAGCTATATGACATGTTGCATCTACAAGTTTTCTCTTTCTTGTATAAGCTGAAAACTCTTTCAGGGTTTTGATTGGTCTTCCTGTATATCGTCCTGTGGACGTGGAGGGTCCATCATCTAGCAAGTGCTTTCCAACTAACCAGGTTGCTTTTTTTATTACGATGCGAGATCTCCCATTTAGTTTTAATACAAGTATATGCAAGTTTAATATTGTTTCCTATACTTATATGCTGCTCTGGGTTGTCCGATACTACATTTATTTCAACAAAAAAAGCTTCCTGAAATTGAAGTTCTAAATAGTTCTAAAAAGTTCTAAATATTTCATACAATTTTATATTTCCATCGCAATTTTCACTGTTTATACACAACTTAATGGTTTAGAAGTCAAAATAAGACTATGGAGCTGTACAAAAAAGACATCAATATATATACATATGAATATACCATCCTTTGGCAAAATAAAAAGCAGGTTACAAAACTTGGTCAAATGCAGGTCAAATATAAAAATCCAATCTGCATAAGCAGTGCTAAAAACTGGTCAAAAAGGTAGGTCGAAGTTTAAAAGGCTTACCTGCAAATTGATTAATAGCTAACAACATAATTTATGTATCGAAAACTTAAAAATGATTAAATTATTGAGTGTACCTGAGTATATAGTTTCATTAGTACATTAGTACCTGCTTTTTTTGTTTTTCGACTTTGACCTGAATTAAAAAAAAGTATGTTTTTGTATTCCCGAAATTTTTTTAAACGTGCTCTTCGCATAATCCTTTACATAAAATTAAAAACCCTATCTGCATTTTTGCGTTGTTTGTCTTCTACATCGATAAAAACTTCAAAATTGTGATTTTGTTTGGGAATTAGAGCTGCGACAGGCCATTTTTTGCAGTTTTTCGTGCGAGGTAGCGTCACTGTTATCGATGTATACGATTTTTTTTTAAACTTGCATTTTTGAAAACTCTGGAAAATTTTCTATCGGATTTGTGTTTTGAATTTATCTAAAGCGTTAAAAAAATTCATTGACTTTGTCATATCTTTGCGGCTGAGGCCCCACTGTGCGTCCTTTAAAGTATTGTTCATAAAAATCTATAGAGAAACGGCTGAGCTCAAATTGGATGACCAACCCTCCGAAAATCACATTTTAGAGTTTGGAAAACTTATGGCACTCCAGGCATTCTGATTTAGCCATTTTTGAATTTTTTCATGTAGCAAATTTGGAATTACATACCAAGTAAACTCGCAGTGCTTGGTGATATATAAAATGGGGTACATTTACTACAACAATCGTACCGTTGGAATTCTTTGGACAATTTTAATTATTAGTAGCTTATATTGTTAAAAAGTTCATGTCTGAAAATAAAACCATACCCAATAAACATATTTTTTTTATTAATCCAGACGCTGTAAAATATTAGAAAACTTAAACTTTGATTCGCTATATCTTCAGGTATATCCCTTCTATCACCACTCATTAAATATGCTGTGAAAGGTGGTAAAATTTTCTTGTCAATTTTTTGTTTTGGGCACTTTCATAATTTTTACTCAAAATCTGAAGCTCATATACCAACAAAAATAAAAAAAAACATTGACAAGAAAATTGTACCGCTTTTCACAGCATTTTTAATTCGTGGTGATAGAATAGATATACCTGAAGATATAGCGAATAAAAGTTTAAGTTTTCTAACATTTTTACAGTTTTAGCAACTAGTAACAGAGGCCTTTGTCAAAATATCGTATATTTCAACGTTGGACTCAATTCGGCACCCCTAAACGTATTCCTATAGGGCTAAAACCTTTCATTTTATTTCATTTTACAATTTAAGATTCCGAGACCTTAAATTTCGACATATTTTTTTCGCCAAGTTGTATGGTCGCAACCCTATTATTCATACATATGTACATAGCTCATAAAGTATGGAAAACCTTATGCTCACAAAAATAAAAACCAGGTTGGCTGGCCTTAAATGGAGAAATAAACTTTATGTTTAATAAGGGTTGATATCAGCACGACGAAGTAGTAACCATTTAAATTACACAGCATACATATGCACATTTGATTGCCTATATGTATGTACATTCGTAAATGTTTACTTTTCAGATTGAAAATCGTTTCGAGATTCAGAGACGGGTAATTTTGTAATTTATTGCATTGTAAACGCCCCTTTACGAGGGTTGCGTCTCCCAACAAAAGGGACGTGATATTTTTTCCTAATATGTACATAAAAGCTTTTACAAATTACTCCCAAGGGACCAATTTTCAGGTTACTTATTCTTTATATCATAGTATTTTTTTCCTGCACCTCCTATCTGTCAATTTATTTAAGGTTACACTACTCAACACCATTTTTATACCCATACTCGAAAAGTAAAGGGGCATGTAAGATTTGTAGTAAAAGTCGATGTGTGTAACGCAGAGAAGGAAACTTTTCCGACCGCATAAAGTATATATATTCTTGATCAGCATCAATAGCCGAGTCAATATAACCATGTCTGTCTGTCCGTCCGTCCGTTCGTCCCTCCCGATGAGCGCCTAGTTCTCAGAAGCTATAAGAGCTAGAGCAACCAAATTTTGAACTTAGTCTTCTATGATATCACATTGTTAAAATTGTATTTCCAAATTTTGCCACATTCCCTTCTGCCCAGAGGACGAAAATAAGTGGCATCCACAATTTTAAACAAACGGGAAAACAGAATACGCAGTACAATAGAAAATGACCATATTTATTAGATCTATCGAATCTGGTTCAAAATATTCCCCATTTTAGCAGACCAGGTCAAACTGCCGCTTATTGTTTTTCTAATAGCTGGAAAATTGACAATTCATAGTAATAAAAAACAAATATATACATACTAGGGGCAAGCCCCCTGCTCGCTCCAATTGCTTCGCTCGTCCGCCAACCCCCAAGTCTTCTATGTCATTTAATAGATCTTTATTAAAAAGTTATTTTTGCTTTGTATTTGTATCATTTCATTCATATTCATAAACAAAATAATCTTGTATTATTTTCATTTAATCGAGAAGCACATCAGCATTTTGAATTTGATGCCATATCGCTGCTTTTATTCACATACTTGAAAATGTATTTGATAGATTTCACTGAACTGCAGAACTCAACATTAACGTGAGCATTGAATTTTTTGCTCAGGAGAGGAGAATTTGGTAATACCACTAAGCAAACAACACATAGAGGCGTCAAATCGACTAAAAACTGCCTGCATAAAATTTTTGGACGATTGGCTCCCAGGCCTTCGGTCGGGAGCCGATAGCTTCGCGAGGGCACTCGGCTTTCTCCGGTTTGAGCCGAGAGAGACCGCCTTTGCAGCTGTGTCGAATATAAACCGTGTGCGTGTGTAGCTATCAATATTTCTTCTTTAATATATTGGATATCCATCGACGTTTGTGCTCGTCTCATTGGTGAGACGTTTTTGCCCATCAACTGTATACATGAATAATGAATCTCGTTAAAGACTTCAATTTTTGTTTGATGAATAATTTCAAAAATAATTCCTTGTGCTGATTAAGTAATTCGTCCAGTTTTCCAACTATTCGCGTGGATATTGCCGAACTGAGGTTATGGTAACTGCAAAGTGCATCTACGCTATTGGCGAGTGAGCGACTTTCGTCCTCACCACCCATGAACTATATTTGTAAAAACTAATGTGCTTCGTTTGGGATTGGAAGCAATGAGCCTACTTTGTGGTACACTTGTCCTTTAATTTTAAATGTGGAATTGTATTGTTGACCATTTTCCGCAGTATTCTTGACTATTTCCGTTGCTCCGAAGGTTGTCATTTGAAAGCAGGAATTGAATTTTCGAATGTACTTGACGAAGATGTTTAAATCAGGATCCGTGCCGATGAGCAAGCTGTTCAATGGTTCCGGTGGTGTAATAGTTTGAGGTTTGCACTTTTCCTGATGCGCAACACATACCATTTGACTCATGTCTATATTTGACAATGGGAACGTTTTTTTTTCAAGCCTAGTACTCAGACGCGCTAAATTTTCAGTCGACCGAAAGTGCTATATATTCCGCACGGTGCCTAGTGTGACCTAAGGTGGCAAAATGTATGCTCTACGGTTACACTGTTTAGTGTTTGTTTACAAACAGAAATCTGTTTGAATTTCAAATGTTTTGCTAAAGTAAGCAGAAATATCTTATTTGTGGGCGCTGTGGAGCTGGAGGGCGATAATGCACACGGCACTATTGAATAAATCCGATCCTGCAGGAAAGATATTGCAATCAACATGGTTTTAATCTTCTTTTTAAAGATTAAAATGAGTAAAATTAATAAATAATAATGTCCATATAATCGGTATTCATTCGACTCCCTAATTAAATTTAATTTATCTTCATTATTGCACTTTTTTAGCTGGCTTGCACTTGTTTCCTTCCATATTTAATGTGATTGTGTTGTGTGTGGTGTGTTATTTTTGTCGTGTCATTAGACGACGGAAGATGAAAATTTTCAATGTTCCGATCGAGATGGGAAAATACCATCGGTTGCTTTTCTAGTATGTATCGAATGGCTTTTTCTCGGAACTGAGTACCGATCTGCGAAACGCCTGCTACGAAATTTTCGGTCGACCAAAAAACAGGGATGATTTCTTATCGGTTTTCATACGAATATCATCCCTGATTTCGGTCGACGGAAAATTTAGCGCGCCTGAGTACTAGGCTTCACCAATTAACACTTTCTGATGTGCGGAATATTCAATATCTGGCTCGTATTCGAATACGAGACGAAGGAACGAAGCGTATGTAAATGCTCTATGTTCTTGTTGGCGTTGTCGGTCAATTTCTCTGATATTGTCAATTGTAGCGACGCCCGACGTCACCGATCCAATTTTTTTTGTTCATTTCGTACCTCTTGTGATTGAGATTCACGCATGTGCGATATGCCATCACGCACATTTTCGATATCTTCTTCGACTTGTTGGACGGTTCTTTCTCATCTACTATGCCACATGAATGTTCCATTATTTGTTCGACGGTGCAACTGGGACCTCCTGTGTTCATGGCAATTTTCATTGTAGTACAATTAGAAATTATAAAAATTCCCACACAAGCGTAATAAACACAAAGAAAGATATTAAATCGAGATTATGACACAAAACACACTGACAACTAATCAGAGCACTATTTACCCAAAAACACTAAAATCGTTATTAAAAGGATATGGTTGGAAATATGAAAATAAAAAATAACACTAGTCGACACGATTTTGTCTCAAGGAACAAAACAAACTTTTTCTTAACTGACTTTAAAAGCTCAGGAAAAGTCGGGAAAAAATTATATCCTGCGTCTTTTATTTTTTTTTATATTTGTATTAAATAAGCGTCGTTTAAGGTATTGCTCATTAAAGTCTATGGAAAACCTTTGATGCTAAAATTCGTTAACCAAACCTAAAAAATGGAAAAAATTAACTAAAAATACCTTTTGAAAGGTTGCGGGCCCAGCTGCCAACTGCTTCCTGTGTTTATGGGATAGTAGAGCTAGAGAACAGCATTACTCGAGAAAACTCTGGCCAAAACGGGACTAACATACTTTGGAAAATTAAAACGTACAGAATGCAGCTCTCATGAAATTGAAAGACGTTATTTTACCATCATTACACATTAAGCTGGGACTAATGAAACATTTTTTAAAGCACTGGATAAGGAAGGCGAATCGATGAGCCACCTAAAAACTGTTTTTCCACGGCTGTCGCTGTCAAAAGTTAAAGAAGGCGTATTTGATGGCCCCAAATTCGAAAACTACTGAAGGACCATGGATTTAAAAATATTTTATCTAAGAATGAAAAAGCAGCTTGGAACTCCTTCTGAATGGTAGTAACAAACTTTCTTGGAAACAGCAAGTCTGATGATTATGTTAATATCGTCCAAGAGCTAATTAAGAAATATAAAAATATCGGGGCAAATATGTCACTAAAAGTCCATTTCCTGCATTTGGACTTTTATCCGACAAAGAGATATTGAGATTGCAGCAACAATTAAAATCTATGGAATAACGTTATCAAGGTGTTTGGAATGATGAAAAAGGAAGACAGCCAGAAAACTTAAATTATTTTAAAAAATGTTAACAAGCATTAACAAACCAAATGTATCAATTATGTTTAAAAACTTGTAGCAACATACAACAAAAAAAGTTTGTATAGTATTGTATATTTGTTTGTAAAAATGACTGATTGTTGTATGGTCTGATATATATATCAGACCAGGTATTTCTACTTTGGCTTTATTGAAATATTATTATGTAGACGCGACAAGATCTAATTTGTGTGAACCTGCACTTGTGAGAATATAAAGAAAACATTTGACTTGAACAGGTATACTACCTCAGATTGGGTATAACGAAAAAAGTAACTGTCAACAACATTTCATACCAAGGGAACGCGATCAGGTACCCTTTTTCGTTTGCTTTGGGTTGGGTCCGCAACCTTCCAGGTACAAGCTTTGAAAAAAATTCCAGACTTCAAAAATGGTTTAAAAAAAGTTTTGCCACAGATAAAAAACATAATTCTTAAAAAAATTGTAAAGTCCTATATCTATCAGAAAAAGTCGGTTTGGGTCCTTGACCAGAAATGTAGATTTTGTCGAGTAGTGTAATTTACGACCTATGCGCAGTTCTACCTAATATACCTAATAATCTTGCATGATTTTTTCGACGCAACTAGAATTTTTCATTTGAACACAATTTATTAGATTATGTAACAAAACACACTGATAAACGAGAAGGAACGTGTGTGTCGCTTCTGGGGACGCGACTCTACTTGTACCCGTACACAGTCAGTATATAAATTTTTGAGCTTATGATTTTGTAGAATTTTAGAAAAAAAAAAAAAATTTACATTTAACATTTTTTTGCTACATCTGATATCTACATCTACATATACAATGTCTATTCTTTATCTAACATGTAGATTGTACATGTTCCATTCATATTCTACATCTTCTCCGCTAGGGGTTGCCCGCGCACTGAACGCGGCAGAGTGTGCGAGCGAGAAGGAAAATGAGTTGCGCTGTCTATGGAAGGAGTGGGCAGGGGAAGCAACTGAAAATTAATTTCTTCATTCTGGCTATGATTATGACCTGATCTGATTCAGATTCGGCAGTCTGGTAGATATGAGCATTCTCTACGATACTGCGTTTTAAGTTTTATCGTATCTTTAAAAATGTGCCTGCCACAGATTTTCGTCTTTTGTGGGGCGGAAGGCGGCGGGGCGAAGTTTTGAAATACACTTGTAGCAGTGTGATATCACATGAGTCTGGAAATCAAATTTGGTTTCTCTAGCTCTTATAATCTCTGAGATCTAGGCGCTCATCGAGACGGACGGACGGACAGACGGATAGACGGACATGGCTATATCGACTCGGCTATTGATGCTGATCAAGAATATATATACTTTATGGGGTCTCAAACGTTTCCTTCTCTGCGTTGCACACATCCACTTTTACCACAAATCTAATACACCCCTTAACTCTTTTTTGAGTACGGTTATAAAAATGCATTTTCGACTTTTCCTGAGTTTTTAAAGTCAAAATTTCGGGGAAAAATACCGCAAAAAAAAAATTCTAAAATTTGAATGTGAAAGTTTAATATCTTCCAGGCGTTAATCTGTAGCTAAAAAGTGTCTGGGTCGAATTTATAGCTGCATTTTTCAGCAACTGCAAAGTGCTATGCAAACAGATATAAGATACTTAAGTAATGTAAAAAATAGAAGCACTACTTTTGAAAAAAAAACATTGAAGAATACCAGATTTTTAAAAATTCTTAAAAAAAAAAACTAAACCATAACAAAACTTAAAACTTAAAAACAAAACGAAATCCCAAAATCTATCATAAAAAGTTTTTTTGGGCAACTGCGCAAAAGTCGTGTTTACTAGTGTAATTGCTTACAAAAAACCTACATAATGAACATAGAAACCTAGAAAAACAAAAATTATTACTAGTTCCCTATGCACACAATTTGGTGCTGTGAAAAATTTGTTCTCTTTTATATTTGAAATTAAAATAATATATTAATGGTTTTGATTGTGATTTTGTGCCTTAGACAGTTCTGACATATCAGATTTTTCGTTGTTGTTTTTACCGATTTCATGTCTGTCATTGTTTAAATTTTCTTAGTGAATGGCACTTTTTTCGTTGTGAATGTGAAATATTTAAGGTTGCATTTGAAAGTGATCGAAAAAATACCGCACAGAACCGTGGGAATTAGGAACATCCCCGATGGATGGTGGAATAACTGGGAAATTTTCGAAACGGCAAAACCTTACGAACCATCCCCGAAATTGATGGTGGATGGTCGCCAGTGTGAAAAGGCTATCAGTGTGCAGAGACTATTATTGCACTTTTGTAGCTGGCTTCCACTTGTTTCAGTCCATTTTAATGTGTGTGTCTTTTTGACTTCGAAAGATAGAATAATCTCGCTCGAGATGGGAAAATACCATCAGTTGCTTTTCCAATATCTATCGGCTAGTTTATTTCACGAAATAAGTACTGCTCTGCGAAACGCCTGCTGCTAAATTTTCGGTCGACCGAAATACAGGCATGCATTTTTATACTTTCAATAAAAATATCATCCCTGACTCTATCGACGGAAAATCAAGCGAGTCTGAGTATTACTCAGAGACTATTCAATACAAAGATGTTGCATGAGGAGCAAATGCTCGTTCGATTTTCAGTTGACGCTTCATGGTATGGGCGCGCGGGGTATTTCTTCCATTCTCTTTAAGGGTATCCTTTGCCTTTGCTCTCGGCTTCGTCAATGATTCAGCCCGCGTCGAATCGAGCGACAGAATACACCAACAAAATATGAAGTCTGACGACAGGAATAGGTCCAGGGCCGGATTAGCAGTTGCCTAGGGACACGCTAGGGAAAACAGAGTGTGCGAGCGAGAAGGAAAATGAGTTGCGCTGTCGTTGGAAGGAGTGGGCAGGGGAAGCAACTGAAAATTAATTTCTTCATTCTGGCTATGATTATGACCTGATCTGATTCAGATTCGGCAGTCTGGTAGATATGAGCATTCTCTACGATACTGCGTTTTTAGTTTTATCGTATCTTTAAAAATGTGCCTGCCACAGATTTTCGTCTTTGGTGGCCGGAAGGGGGCGGGGCGAAGTTTTGAAATACACTTGTAGCAGTGGGATATCACATGAGTCTGGAAGTCTCTGAGATATAGGCGCTCAACAAGACAGACAGACGGACAGACAGACATGGCTATATCGACTCGGCTATTGATGCTGATCAAGAATATATATACTTTATGAGGTCGGAAACGTTTCCTTCTCTGCGTTACACACATTTACTTTTACCACAAATCTAATATACCCCTTAACTCTTTTTTGAGTACGGGTATAAATATAATAGCCACTGAGAAAAAATACAAAATAACACTACTCGACAAAATCGAACTCTTTTTTCCCTCAAGAATCCAAACCAACTTTTGATAGATATTGGACTTTAAATTTTTTTTAAAGAATTATGGTTTTTTTAATGGCAGAACTTTTTTTTCGAAGTCTGGAATTTTTTTGTAAAGCTTTTTTCAGAGGTAGCGCTTCTTTTTTCCACATAGCTCTAGTATCTTACGCCTAGTTGTACAGAACTTTGCTATTTTGAAAAGATAATGAAAACAGCTAGAAATAAAGCCCAAAAACTTTGCATTTCAATGCTTTTTATTTCCCTGACGGTAAGCTGAAGTCACAAAGTGTTTGTGCTTAACTTCTAGCTGTTTTCATTTTCTTTTAAAAATAGCAAAGTTCTTTATAACCAGACGTAAGATACTAGAGTTACGTGAAAAAAAAAGCGCTTCCTCTGAAAAAAGCTTTTCAAACAATTAAAAAAAAAGGTTTTCCATAGAAAAAAAAATTGTTATCAAACCATTTCTAAGCCCTAAGTCTTTAAGAGAAAGTTGGTTTTGTTCCTTGAGGAAAACTCGTGTATAGTAGTGTAATTGGTCACGGCCACAACACTTTACGTTTTCCTTGTAACACCTGGCGTAGTCCTATTTAGTTACACATTAAAGCGGATTTTGTGCAAAAGTTTGTGAACCGGGAGCAAGTGAAAAAGCTTAACTCAAAGAACATAAGAGACAAGCAGAGCCCGTCTGATAGCACTATCCGACACGATATTTCCTAAAGGAACCGAGCCGACTTTTTCTGATAGA